GAAATTTTGAATGATTTTTTTTTCGGAATATTTTTCAAAACTTCTTCCGGAAAAGTTGTTCCCTTTTTTGACCACCTCCCTTTGTAACTGTTGGTCAAATACTATGGTGGAACAAAGGAGAGCTTCTGGGTTACCTATGAATCGAGCGCTATGACTATATGTTATTTGTTGTGTGTCGTGCCGTCTCCCCCACAGCCAGCCAGGTCCCCCTAACAAAACGGATATAGTTAATGTAGGTAACATCACTGGGACTCAGGAGACACGGAAAGGGCCACCCCCTGCTGCTGTCCAGTTCCTTTCTACTGTCCAGCTTCTTTCTACTCTCCTACGGATCTGTGGGGCCTTTTCTAGACCACTCCCAGGAAAGCAGAGCACTCAGCCCCACATGATCAGTTGGTGGGCAAGGTGCTTGGGCCCCTCAATCCCCATGGTCTCACTCCAAGGGTACAGATGTGGTTACATTTTTTTGTTTAAAATATAAAGTTCTGGTCATCATTGCAAAATGAGAGTGAAATAAAGATCGAAGCTCTGGCCATAAATCATACAGCCTCACTGACTGCAAAGAAATGAGGACTCCCATTCCCATTCATTGGCTGCAGGCATTATGTAAACAAGAAAAAATGTAGGAGTAATTGTCTGAATATGTGATCATTCCCCACATCTTGATTTCCTGACTATGCCAATATCACCTTGTGTGGTGATCCCGTGAGATCTCAAAGGTTCCATCTACACTGCAGTCTATGTCGGCAAAACTTATCTCGCTCAGAGGTGTGAATATTCCACCTCCATGCGTGACATAAATTACACTGACATAATAGCACAGCGCTATATCAGTGGGAAAACTTCTAACAAAGATTTCTAACAAACTCTGAAGTCAGCTGTAATGTATATGATTCACTTTACCCGTTTAATAACTCTCTTCTTATAATCTTTACTTTTAGTTACAAAAGGATTGGCTACCAGTGTGGTTTTTGGGTGAGATCCAGAAGTACATATTGATCTGGGGCAGGGGGGAGGGTGTCTGGTTCTTTGGAACTGGAGGAACCTAATATATGTGATTTCTGGTTTTAATAATCATTTATCACAAAAGTCTGGTTTGTCTGGGTGGTGCATGAGGGGCTAGAGGGTGTGACGGGGGCTGTCTGTGGCTCCTCTTCAGAAAAGCATCCTTTTCAGAAAAGCTCTTCAGCATGTGCGTATAGTTAAGCTGCTTAAATGCTTTGCTGAATAGAGATGGACTTAAGCATGTGTTTAAGTGTTTTCTTGAGTCAGGACCTATATGTGTAGCCACCTTTAGTGTGGAAAAAGACAGTGCATAACTGTGTCAGGAGAACATGTCTGCTTGATGTCACTACGTTTGGGTCTTTTGCTGCTAAGAATATGTCTTCACTGCAGAGTTAGCCCGAGCTCTTCCCGGCTGTTACCTCCAATGCCCTCCACAACCTGGGCTAGCTGGCTTGTCTGAGGTCATAGGCTAAAGACCAAGTCAGGCTTTCACTCGGGTTGGTAACCCACCCACTTTGCAGTGAAGATGCAGGCTAAACCACTCCAGTGCCAATAATCCTCCAATGCTTTCCCACAATTTCCCCCCTGTGCTTGGAAGGACAGACAAGTTCTCCCACAATTCACTGGGAAAAACATAGAGTGGCTCAGCTCAGCTTACTGCAGCACAAAGAACCATGGGATATGACCCTAGGGGCATGTCTACACTGCAATATAACACCTGTGTGTGGCAGTGTCAGCTGACTTGGGCCTATAGGGCTCGGGCTGTGGGGCTATAAAATTGCAGTGTAGAAGTTTGGGCTCAGGCTGGAGCCTGGGTTCTGGGACCCTCCCCCTTTACAGGGTCTCGGAGCCCAGGCTCCAGCCCAAGCCCAAACGACTACACTGCAATTATATAGCCCTGTAGCCCAAGCAAGCCTGAGTAAGCTGACACGGCCAGCCACAGCTGTTTTATATTACACTGTAGACATACCCTAGGAGTCCTAGCAACATACACAGGGGAACACAGCATCAGTGTGGACAGAGTAACTCAGGTCTGGCTTTGCAGTGTGGCTGCTCACACTGGGATAGGCTAACCCAGGTGCTGATCAGCTGGGCTAACCCTGTGGAGAAGACGTACCCTAAGAGGAAAATCCTCAGGCCATTGTTCATGCTGAGCAGCTTGGGTGAGTGCTGAGGGGAAAGGAGAGAAAAAATCCTCGCCTTCAATCCGTGGAGCAGCTGCAGGGCTGCTCATGCAGTTCTAATGCATTCTTTCGGGGGGAGGACGGAGGATTCCTGTAGCAGTGGACAAAGCCTGTGGCCCCAGCCTGCCCAATGCATGCAAGGAGCCTCCACAGAGCTCATCTTCATGCTGCACGGTGTGCTCCATGTTCTGACCTCCAACAAACATTCTTTGTGTAGCAAACTGTACTGGCACCAGTGCCTGGGGACCTTCTACACACAGGCTAGGACAGGATTGCCCCTGAAAGTAATGTTGCAATTTCTAAAGTTTGGGGCAGAGAGCAACTGTGACAGCGTACCCCATAAGGCTTTATGGGGAGGGGGTGCTTATAAATGTATGTATGACATAACTGGAATATGTTTTGTGCTGCCTGTGCCAGGTAACATATCTCCGTAAAGGTTATGGTCTACTATATCTATTCATCCTATTTGTACATATATATATCATTTTCTACTTGAGGTTAAGAATATGGGCTGTATGCTTGCTTGGTTTCTAAGTAAGCTTTGGGAGGCATTTGGTCAGTTTCTTTAGGAAGGAATTCGCCAGGTTAAGTACCTGATCAGGGAACAATGCTCCAATCCACATAAGAAGTCTTCCTGGAGACATGCAAGATTCCATGTGGGCAATGGCTTCAGCCTGTAAAGACTGAGTCATGCAGGGACATGTGACTTGCCCAGGTGACTCCAAAACTCCATCTTGGAGCTGGACTTTGCATAGGAGGGAGGAGGGGGGTCTCCTCCCACAAGAGAGAGTCTATTTAACCCTGGGAGAGACCCCTCCATTTTGTCTTCAGCTGGCTAAAGAAGGAGTCTCTCCAACCCCCTAGGATGCTTGAAGGAAACAAACAAAAGACAGTAACTACAGGGGTGTGAGAGATTGCTGGACCCAGGCTAAAGGGAGATTAGCCTGTAAAAGGGAGCATTCTGGAACTGGTGACTGGTGAGGAAATTATCTGTATTTAGTTTGATTAGGCATGCATAGATTTGCGCATTTTATTTTATTTTGCTTGTGACTTACTTTGTTCTGTCTGTTACTACTTTGAACCACTTAAATCCTACTGTCTGTATTTAATAAAATCACTTTTTATTTAGTAATTTACTCAGAGTATGTATTAATACCTGGGGGAGCAAACAGCTGTGCATATCTCTCTATCAGTGTTATAGAGGGCGAACAATTTATGAGTTTGCCCTGCATAAGCTTTATGCAGGGTAAAACGGATTTATCTGGGTTTAGGCCCCATTGGGAGTTGGGCATCTGAGTGCTAAAGACAAGCACACTCCTGTGAGCTGTTTTTGGGTAAACTTGCAGTTTTGGGACAAGTAATTCAGACCCTGAGTCTGTGTTGGAGCCAGACAGGAGTGGCTGGTTCAGCAAGACAGGGTGCTGGAGCCCTAAGCTGGCAGGGAAAACAGAAGCAGGGGTAGTCTTGGCACATCGGGTGGCAGCTCCCAAGGGGGTTTCTGTGATCCAACCCGTCACAGCAACCATCTACCTTCTTCCTTTTTTGTAACTGATGGTGTATCCACCACACTTCTAGTGATGACAAAAATGTTGATCTGAGTCAGTCTTTACAAAAACATTTCTGCACTCTAATCCCCAATGAAATGATACACAGACAGAACGAACCTTGTTAAAAACAGGTGTATATACTTTTTGTAGGCACTATTCGATTTTAGACAACAGGCAGATCTGTAGGTGCAAATGGCTTGTGCTTCCAAATTAGGGAGCTACTTCTCTAAAATGCCTGGACTAGTACTTCTGGCTCCAATTTAGAGTTCAGCTCCTTTGAAAATCTGGCCCACCTTTAATGGCAGAAAAATGATGGAAGATGAAATTAGAGCTGGTGTAATTCCATAGTATCTCAAACTGTTTCACCACCCACCCTCCACTCTGCTGGTGCCATCCAAGAACAAGCGTCTTACTGATATCAATGGACTGTTAGGATGTTCCTGGTACATTCAGCAATGCAGCAGGTGCATTTACCTGCATGTGCCTGCAGAGTTTAGTACGTGACTTTCACAAGCCTTTCGGTTGAAATCTCAAACAGCAAGGTGCTGAATTAAATCTCTGCATTTTTGAAGCCTGAATGCGCTCTTTACTAAAAAAAACCAACAACAACAACAAAACCCAACCTTTAATATGGGACCCAGAAAGTCCAGGATTGTGCAAGGCACCGAGTATCCCATCAGAGGTGTTGGGTGTGGAGCTGAGGGTCCTCCGTTCTTCTCAGGGACACGCTACACTTTGCAGGATCAGGCCCTGTATCTTCTTGCTTATCTCAGGGGGCAGGCACTGGAGAAAATGCCTTAGGTAGCTAAGGGAAATGTTTTGAATAACAAGGGTTTGGAGCTTATAGTTTTAGGTGCATGTACAGTACAGGCTCCACACAGTCCTAGAGATGCCTTCCTGGAAGAAACACATCTCTGAAGTTTGCTCCCATAAAATCCAAATGTCTGTAGTGGCCATATTAGTCTTAGGAAGACTCCTCTAGTGTTTTGACTAAGTCAGATTGCTGGAGGAGGAGACTACTGAAAGCATATGCTCATAAACAATATTTTAATTAGTGCTTGTCCTTGCTGGAGGCGATGGAGTGTTGATGGTCTGAGCCACTCCTCTAACGTCAATGAACCAGCTCACTGGTGATGTCAGCCGGGCCTTCTGCACTCAGCCCTGATTGGCTATGTTTGGATTGCAGGGGCCGGCTTAGCTGTAAGGTGAATATGCAAGGAAGCAGCTGTGTGGAGGTGTGTAGTCAGAGAGTGTTAGCAGCAGACACAGTCAGACAGTGGGGCTTTACTGAGGCTGAGGAGTTGTTTTAATCTCTCATAGGTAAATAAACAAACCAGCAGCAGACTTTGGAATTTGGAAAGGCTCACTGGGCACTTATGCAGGAAGAGTGCAAGCTGCAGATTCCACAGAGTGGCTTTTTTTTCTTTCCAGAACCGTAAGTGGAATAAGTGTACCTGAAACTGATATGCCAACTGAAATCTCTCACGCCGTAAGAATGCATGCCATCTCGGACTTCCCTTTGACAGTGCGACTCCTCAGCAAGGGGCCAGAGTACCTTCGCAGACAGATGGAGGCAGGCACCCCAGGCAGGAAAAGTGCTGTGGAAAGACTGGCAGCTGATAAGGCCAAGTATGTAAAAAGTCAGCAGGTAATCAGCACTAAGCAGGAACCCGTCATCGTGCTCAGCTCAGCCTCAGAGAGCAGCAGTGAGAGCTGTTCAGTGGAAAACAAAAAAATCAACAGGGACTTTGGTGGAGGGAAAGGCACAAAAAACTTGGAGTCAACTAAAGCAATGTATTCCTGCAGTGCTCCCCTGGAACCTGATCCACCCATAGCGAGGCGCAGCAGCTCCAAGAGGCAGGTACGGCCAGACTCCCTAGTGATCTACCGCCAGAAATGTGAGCTTGTGAAAGGTCAAAGCAATGAGAGGTCACGAGGAGGCCTGGTGAGGCGGCTGTTCCAGGGGTCCATGAAGGAGAAGCTGCTGACTTCCCTTGAGATGCCCAGCGTAATTGGGGAGGGCCTCACGCCAGAAAGTGAAGAGACAGTATCCACCAAACACGCCGCCAGTGGGTCAAACAGCCGTGTCGCTGAGCACGCTGCCCCTGCAAACACAGACGCACCAGCTGTTCCTGAGCATGAGGGCGAGGACTCCTCACAACTGACTGTTGCACCTGATGAGGTCAAGGACATCCGGAGGAAAGGGCTGCATCGCTCCCAGTCTGATATCAGCTCTCGCTATTCCAAGTCTTTCTCTGAGTTTGACACTTTCTTTAAGTACTGCGGCCTTGAACCCGAGGTCGTCGAGGATCTGGGCAGAGAGAACTTCTCCGTGATTTCTGACAACGTCTCCTTCAGGATCCGCAGCATCAGCGTGGCAACATCTGAGAGTGACTTCACGAGGCACAGTGGGGACGATGGGCTGTTGGAGGAAGAACTGACTGAGCAGGTCCCCAGCACCACTTCAGTGATTGAGCGCAACGCTCGGATAATCAAATGGCTGTATACTTGTAAGAAAGCCAAGGAGACTAACAACATGCTACGAGAGCTTGCGTGAAGGCTTCTCCTTTCAGCATGCATTACAGCCTGGTAAACTCAAGGTGTGTGCAAAGCCCAGCCATGCCCATTTATATTTATCTTTTTATTAAAACACTGTCGATTTATCCGAGTTTATGTCTGTTCTATGAATGGCAGGAACAAGCTGCTTTCTGCACGTAACATTGTTATTATTATTATTTATTATTTGTGTTACAGTAGCACCTATGAGCCTAGTTTGGGGGAATGGAGTTCTTGTAAAACAGGAGTCTGGGCTATTACAACAAAAAAGAGACAGAAATGTACTGTAATTTGTGAGGTTGGATCAGACCCCCAAACGAAAGTAAACAGTCAAGCTTTACAAGGAATGTCTGCCCTTTGCAGACTCCTGCTTTGTAAATTACTTGTTTTCACCAGTTTCTGCTATGTTAAACTCAAGACAAACCCCAGAAAAATTATTCAGCCCTTAACTGTACCAGGTAAGATCAAACAAACTGAACTGAACCACTGGATGTTTAGGGGTAGTCTGTATTTACTCTGTAGTAGTACAATTTTCCCCTCCCCCACTCTCTTTCTGTCTCTCTCTCTTTCTTTCCCACCCCCTTTGCCTGCACTTATGTACATGTAAGCAGCCAGTAAAATAAGGTTATATCCATGCTTCTTCTAGAGATCCCATTCTCACAGAGCTTTCTGCCTTGGCAATAGGAGTTTGCTCCAGCTGACACCTGGCATTTCACAAGCTCTGCTGGGACATGGGACTGCTCTTTCTGCTTACGCTGATTGTAATCAGTTTGGCTCTTTTGACGTTGGAGAACTTTGATGGCTTTGCCCACATGGCTGTGCTACTGCAATTCAAGCAGCAGATTTTGGAAGTCAGTGGTGTGGCTTGTTTGGTGAGTGGGGCTGCTCCGATATTTAAAAACTAAAACAATGAATAAAAATATGAGAGGCTTTGAAAACTATTACTTCACATAGAGAAATGGGCCAAATGCAGCCCTGGTGTAAGTTGGCACACTTCCTATTGACTTTTAATAAGAGCTGCACCTATGCCTGGGGTGAGTCTTGTCTATTGGCAAGAACCATTTTCCTAGGAACTTTAGTAGCAATTCATTACATGCAAATTGCCCAAAGTATCCATTATAAGAAAATTGTCCTGACCCAAGCACATACATCCCTTAGGCCTTGGACCTCTGACACAGTATTATTTTGAATTGTGCTAACTGATCCTTGACACGATGGGCTACATGTGCCCTTTGTAAATTTATCATGTTCATAATCTGTGTATTAAGAGGACACTAATTAGCCCTTGGCACAGTTGTATGAAATGACTCCATGCCTTATCCAAAAGAACATGGATATATAATGCCTGAGTCAATTTCCTAGTGGATCAAGAACTGGATCAAGATTTCTTCTGGTGCACCAATTTTACAGTGGTATAAATCCACTGTCTTCAAAGAAATTAATCCCAAATTACACTAGTGTACGTAGGAAGTGAGTAAGGCCCTGTGACTCCATCCTACCCAGTTGCCTGGGGGCTCAAGGTTATGAAGATGTTGGGATATGCATTAAACATACTCACTGCATCTCCTGACATGCTAACAGGGTGGTGGATTCTAACTTGGTTGTCTGACAATGTAGGGCAGTAAAGAGTCTTAAAGATGCAGCATACAGTACCTACTAACTTCTGACAGTTCCTAACGAGGAATATACCTTTTAACACCATTGAAATATATTAGGCTGAGAGAGCATTCTAGAAGGCACAAGATGGAAACTTGATACAGATTCTGTTTAAAAGATAGGACCTTTTTTAGAGGTGGATAAAAAAAAAATTCTGGTTGTGCATTTTTTTAAGAAAAGCAAAAAATGCATTTTCATTTACATTTTTCATAGAATTAGTTTTTTCATTGACATATTGAAAACTCAAAAATTTAGATTTTTGTCAAAATAATTTCCACAAAATATTTTTGACCAGCTCTAGAGTGTGCCTCCAGAATAGGGACAGTTGTCATGTGTAATGCTGTCAACCCACAGATATATCACTGGGTGAGAGCTCCATGCCTGAATTCAGTCGCAGAGAAGAGAGGGTTTCACTGAGCTGAGGAGTTCCCCTCCCTCACCCTCCAGAGCTGGTGGGAGAGGGAGGCACATAAAACAGATGGTGGATGTGGGGGCTCATAAAAGTTTCTGCAGCTGTGAGCCTTACACAATTATGAAGGTGGGGGCCTTTGCCCACCTCCTGCCAGGGCCGCCGGGGGAGGGGGGGGGGCAAGTGGGGCAATTTGCCCCAGGCCCCGGGCTCCACAGAGGCCCCCACAAGAATATAGTTTTCTATAGTATTGCAACTTTTTTTTATGGAAGGGGTCCCTGAAATTGTTTTGCCCCAGGCCCCCTGAATCCTCTGGGCCCTGCCTCCTGCTACTGGGTGCAGGAGTCTGGAAACAAAAGCAACTGTATAAAGGGAAACAAGAGACGTCTGGCTCTAGGATCTCTTTGCCCCTGCTCTTGGGGCCAACTGTGAGGTTGCTCTCCTACTAGAACTGTGATAATTCTCATGGGCCATGTGGACCTTGTCAAATGGGAGAAGGCTGTTGGGCCTCTTAGTATTTATTTGTTAAATGCTATCAGTGCGTTCAGTGTTGCAGATTACACAGGAGACAGATGGTCCCTACTCCAAAGAGCCTACAAAGCAGCTAGGCACACATCATAAAAAGATGTCTGGCAAAGGATGCTGTAATGTATAGAAAGCAGGAAGTTCATTCACGTGTGCTCCCCACCTTCACAGAAGCTCTGCAACTCCCTGGTGCAGAGTCAAGTGTTGCCTTTTTCTCTTTCTGCCCTTTGACTGACCCCATCACGCAGTCAGCATCTGAGGCCTTAGGTGCTTTTGCAGCCAAAGAGACTTTCTTCTTGACTGGACCCTTAATATTTGTCATGTTAAGAATCTACAGAGCAGGACTTTAGATAATTTATACTTCTGTTGCATTTTAGAGGGGCACGCAAAGGACAGACAGAAGCAGGGCCAAAGCTGTGAGAGGTTTTTCAAAGACAGTATTTTTTATGTAAATGAAAGTACTGGGTTCTAAAATGTAGCATAGCAGATTTAAGATGGATTTAAAAAAAAATACTATTCTGATTTTACAATGGCATACTAATTTATTTTCATGCTATTCAGGATCAGATCTTTAAAGGACCTTGCTCAAACATGTGAGTGTATTTCTGTGCCTACATTTGTTAACATAATTATCTCAATTGCTTGTGCAGATGGTGTATTTGCATGCCCAAGTGGACTTTTTCAGCCTGATTCTTTTCTCATTTACACCAGTGTAAATCAGTGCTAATTTTATTAAGTTAATGGCATTAAATCTGCATAGACCTGGTTTGTATAAAAGGAGAATTGGGCAAGTAGCTACCTAAATAGCCATTTGCACATGCAATGGCCCAATTTGCACATACACTTAGGGTAACTTTACGTAAATATAGACCCATTCATGTGTGCAAATGTTTTCATGCTTCTGTCTTTAAAAATTATAGCCCACAATTTTTCTCATTTTAAGATGGAAGATTTACTTTTAAACTTTGTTTCCTTAATGTCTTTTGATAATGGTCTGCAGAAGAGGGAATACATAGGAAGCATATACTAGAAAATTTTAAGTAATATCACTAATAGTAAAGACAAAGACATTCAAAGTATTGACTGACACCCCATTGTGCCTTTGAATTACAGGTAGTTTTATAACATATTTCTTCTTATCCATGTAGGCACAGGGTTGTTTTTTGTTTTATTTTGTTTTTGGGGGGACATGGTGTCAAACACATTTAAAATTCCTTAATTGCTTTATCTTTGAGTTTGTGTCACAATTTTAATGTTGCTTAAACATAGTTGTACATGCCTTTTTGTGTGTTTTCAAAACAGATCCATGTATTGGGACAGGACAGGAATTTAGGACATAGGGCTTTTGTTATTGGCTCTGTCACTGACCTATTGTCTGATCTTGGGCAAGTGGTTTAACCTCTTTGAGCCTGGCTTATGCCCCGGAGAAATAATACTTCCCTACCTCCCTAGGGCATTGTGAGTTTTTAATAATGTTTTTAGAGTGGATGGAAGACACATTTGAAATGCTTATTGGTATTGCTTTCTGTTCCAACTAGCAGTTCAGAGGATGCTGAAATATGTGGGTACCACGTGAACATTCGTGGTAGCAAATGTCATCTACAGTGTCAAGCCCTTCCATGACTGACCTGAAATAAGATTGGTTCACTGGTCCTCAAGAATACATATAAACCCTTAACACTTTCATTAATATTTAAGAACTGGCTCTTTTTTTGGTACTAAGGTTTCTGTACAAAAGAAACCCTTAGCAGGATGATCTTCTGTATTAATCTAAACCACAAAATCTCTGCTTATAACTCATCACATGTTTACATAATTGGTTAATCAGACGATGAGCCAGCAGAGAGACAAATTAACCACTCACCTGCTAAGCCTTAAGCCTAGGCCCTGTGAAGCAATGCAGGGAACTTCCTGAAGTGAAGCAATGCATCCTGGCTTTCTGCAAATATTGGATGTGATCCACAAAGCATACAGAGACATTCATTACTAGCATTACTGATCCTTTGAATTTTACGAAGGCAAAACTAATTTGCATGGGAATGAGTATGACTGGGACACGAGTACTCTAACTCTCTTGGAAATAATATGCAGAGAAGTATAGTACAAACCTTGAATTGGTAACAAATTACTTGAGTAGTAGAGTGTGTGAGTGGGTGTGCAACTCTGGTCATATAATTTGCTTATTTTTAGACAGGGGCTAGAAAGAGATCTTAACTGCTGAGCCTGACATCTGCTCAGTCACATGTCATTTAATTGTATTTAATTACCCAATGAATGTGTCAAATAAACAGTTCAAAACTGATGCTATTTACAGCCCATGGTTTAACAGAGTAGGAGAAAGACCTGTATGAACTGGGTATCTTGCGTATCCATTGGTTAAAAACTAAATTCATAGGCTAGGTATGGCTATTCTAACTCTAACAACCTAGGGACCATGTGGCTGAGAGTAGCTTTTCCCTCAGCTGTTTTCCCAGAAATGATGCCATCTTTTGTTGAAATGATATTCAGAGGGGCACACTCCATTATGTTTTCCATCCCAGGCAAATATTTTGGCACACTCTGTTTGTGCAGTTTAGGAAAACTCTAGTCCATCAGGTTTGTACTGTAAGCCTGACTTTAAATATATAGGGACAGATTTTCAGCTGGTGTATATCAGTAATGGAGCTATGCTGATTTCCAACAGCAGAGGAGCTGACCCACAATTAATGAAAAATCAAGGAAAACCCAACAATGCTGATTTTAGGCCACTACTTTTAACAAACCCAGTAACCGTTGGAAGACTCGCCTACAAATATCAATGTACAGTGCCCAGCACAACAAGGATTCGGGCCTTTTGGAGTGACCATAATATAAATATTTAATAATAAATACGGCTGAATTAAATAGTTATCACCAGACAATCGGTGGAGTTGACTCACTGGTTCTGAGACTTGTGTTTCCTACAAACCCACAAGCTAGCTTCTTTTCAGTGCTACAGTTATCCTGACCAGAGGCCATCATGTTTGTTGCAAAAAATGCAGTGCTCACAGGATATTTTTACACTGCAATTAAACACCCGCAGCTGACTTGGACTCGTGAGGTCAGGCTGTGGGGCTGTAAAATTGTGGGGGGGAGACATTCGGGCTTGGACTGTACCCCAAATTTTGGGAACCTGAGAGGGGAGGATCACACCACACAGAGATCAGACAGACAAGCTGAAAATAGAAGCTAGCCCTTCAGCTCCCTTTGGCCTTTGTGTAGACGGAGTGCTCAGAATTTATCAGCTGTGGGCACATGGAGGCTAATGGATTAGATCCAGCAAACCTGCTGCATGGAAACTATGTGCTTTCTTTGCCTTTCAACAGCCTGCTGTTTGGAACTTTGGGACATATTCCTTAAAGCACCAGGCATGGCCTGGCATATTGAAATTGTTGCACCATATTTTAAAAAAGACAAAAACCCAACAAAACCCTCTGTTCATGTTTCCTAGATTCTAATGTTCATTCTGCTTTTTAAAACTGCAGGTTTTTAATGGGTCAGATGCTCCTATTAATAATTTATGTTCCTAGCTTAATTTTTCATGAATTGTTATGATTGGTTAAACATTGCATAAATAAAACAGCTACTCGAGACATGAAGTGAACTAACACATTTGTTTTAGCAGGATGATAATTAAGAAGCCATGTTATCTATAGTTAGCCTCAAAATAACCCAAAGGTAATTGACTAGATTTTGCCTAGATAAGCAGCATTATAAAGTAACAAGGTCTTAAAGGCCAAATTCACCAATGGCGTTAGGAGGAGCACAACTCTATTGGCTTTCAGGGAGTTTTGCTCCTCATTGCTTTAATGATGGGTATGGCTTTAAAAAGGGAGTGAATTGAACATCCTTGTCTCTGACTGAAATCAACATTACACAGTTCATATCAGTCCTGGGCTTCAAAAGCGTTTTTTTTTTTTAAAAGAATGCTCATTTTTCGTGTGGGTTTCTCAGGAAAGGAATTGATTATGTTGGTAGTAGTTGTAAGCAGTTGGAATGAAGTTTTAAAGCTTACACTGTACCAGTATGATGCACTAAGTGTTTTAAGCAGCACTTTTTTCTTTCCTTAGAATGAAAACATTCCCTGAGATGGCGGCTCACTAAACAGGACACAGACAGATAGACCCACAGCAAACTCTTCTATCATCTGGCTTATGATAAATCTGTGCAAGTTTATCAACTTCTTGTTGCCCTCCCACTCGTCTGCAGGCTCACTCTTTGTCACAAGCACATGTGTGTACAGAAGTACAACAGCAAGAAGAAGTTACAAACTGAGACGGAGGGAAATTAAAGCTTCTAGAAGAGCAGAGGCAGGTTTAGGTGCTAAAATATCTGGTAATATCCAGAAAGAGGTCAGTGCACCAGGATGTCATCCTAAATGTGAGGGAAGGTGGGTGTGGCATGTCTGGCTCTGACTGATGGCAAATCTATCAGCAAGACGGGGGAAGGAGAAAGTGGGAACTAAGTGGCAATGACCTCTGGGTCAGGCATTTCTTGGCAGGGAGGCTCCACCTACACTTCAAAGAAAGTGTGTTAACAGGACTTTAAACCTGGCTCACACTGACATGATTTCAGCACACTCTGCCTGGCTGGTGACAGTGGACCAAACATGACAGTTTTATAAACAGTATTTAAAGCCAGTGGTACACCAGATTCCTTCTTAGTATTGTCTAGATTGAGGTTTAAGGCAAACTAGAGAACCATGTTCTCCAACTAGACCAGGCTGATCAGCCAGTGTGGATGGATGGCTAAAATCATGTTTCACATATGGTCTTGGGCATAGTCCCAAAGCCTAGTATGACACAGGGAAAGTCAATCCACGTTCCATATTAGACAGGACTCTTCTTTGCTATAACAGTGCTCCAACATAGTAAAATGTATAGTCTAGGTAGGCCCTTAGACTCTTTTTATACTACATCTCAGACCATGCCAGCACATGGTTGTCTGTAATCTAACACATTTATTTTTGTACTGAGGATGGGCAACATGTTTATTGACTCATGTTAGGGAATAGTGTCACAGCATATGTAATGTTATGGCTGATTAGCATGAATCTATAATAGCATTGTCCTATCTCCATTGTAAACAAGAAGGCATGTTAGGACACAACCACAACATACCAGACAAACGTGCTAAGATTATTCGACTTATAGTATAGACAGCACCATGTTCAACATAATTGTTATAACAACTACACCTACTTTGCCCTGGCCAAGCAAACTTTATTTAAACTGTAGTTAAACACTGTTTAAAAATAATTTGTGTCACTCAGTTTGATTGTGGATGTAGATGTGAGTTTATGGCCCTTGGCTATGCCTCAGATCCTTAGCCCAGACAGTCATTAGTTATCAGAAAATGCCTTTCCCTGAGTTATTTATTCCTGATACCATAAATCACAAAGAAGGGGGGGAAATGAAGTAGGGAACAGATTCCGATCTTAGCTATAGCAGTGTCGATCTGGAATAACTGAACTGATAAAAAGAGATCAGAATCTGGCCGTATATTTCGGTGTGTTGAAAGGTTAAAAGTTGAACCACAGGTTACCATGGCCATAGTGTTCTGTTTACAGCATTGGACTGTCAGACCTGTACTGTAGCAAGTACAGGAAAATGAAATTCCATTCTCAACATTCCATTAGGGTTATACACGGTAAGCAGTCAATCAGCCCCTTTCAACGATTACCTGCCATGCCCCTACCCAACAAAGTGAACCAGACACAGGCATAGGGGAGAAGATGGAATGAGCACCTAATCAGCACTTTTTACATCTTATAAAAGACTTAGTCTTGTAACATAACTATGAGAGAAGGAGAGAAAGGACTGAGTGATGGCATTTTTATAGAGCATTCACTCTAACCAAAAGAATCTAATATTTCCTCTTTTAATTTATTCAAACATTGTGAGCCAAAAAACAGCACTTTAAGTGCTATTTAATAGTTTTTAGTTGACTTTAAGTTCACAATAGACTTATGAGTCAGGCTAACCTTATTTAATTAAGAAAAACATACTTGTCACTATTTCTCACCCCCAGTCGCCATTTGAGAATGCAGGGCATTTGTCTATGTTGGTTTAGTGTTACTTCACATACACATGTCTTAAGTTGTCTATATATATATATATAATAACATTTCCAGATAAAGTATTTATTGAAGCTGCTCTACACAGGGGAAACTGAAGTGTTTGTATTAGTGAGACATAGAGTTTAAGGTCAGAAGAGACCACCAGATCATCAACTCTGACCACTTTTTTATCACAAACCACCAACACCACCCAGCACCCATACACCAAACCCAAAAACCAAAATTTGACCAAAATATTACAGCTCACAGGAGAATAGACTATTATGTGCCACAGGCAGAGAATAGGAAGGACCAAGGGGCACCAGTGAGCTACTGTATATTTAGAGATTAGCACCTTCAAAACAAATAATCTTAATTTCCGTTTTGATTCACCATAGACTACACCATCAAAGCTAATACGGTAAGAGTTATCCACTGATGTGCAGTTGTTTAAAGGGAGACTGTAAAGATTGATAAATCAGCAATGTGACCCACTGTAGTCTTATGCTCAGTTTGCAAATTACTGTACATGGAATTATTTATATGTTTTGTCAAAAGCTGTTGAATACTTTTTCTTGAAAATATGAATGAACCACTGTAAGCAGCTCAGAACTCATGAGAAATCCCACAGCTACAAACCAATGCACCAACTCAATGGAAGGGGGGACTGGGTTTTTACAAAGGTTTCTGGTTTCACTTTCAAGTTTCCATTGGGTCTGTATCAGAGATGGTAGTGAGATAAATTGGCCATGGACTTTAAATAATAGAAAGAGACATGTAAAGGACTTAGGTGGGATTCTCAAAAGCACAGAGAATCAGTTGATTCTGTCCCTATTGAAGTCAGTGGGAATTTTACCATAGATGTCAGTGGGATCAGTTATGCCAACACTGAGCATTTTTGAAAATCCCACCTTTGGCCTTTATGAGCTGCTTAATGAAGCTGTGCTGATCTTTCATACCAACACCAGAACAAATACACCTGGCTTTGTTCAACTTTGCATGTGAGAACCAAACTCTCCAAG